TTGTGAATTTGAACCAAGAACCTTGACATCATAACTGTTAGGAGTTTAATGGAGAGAATCTGCTTTGATTTGAGTGAGAAGTAGGTACTACAAACCTCTTACTTTCAGGTAGGTATGACACTGATCTACGATAGCGTAGACAATGTTCAGGATTGAAAAAACAAACCTTCTAAAAACAAAAAAACTAGGCGGTACACAGTTTGAAACAGGTCTTTGATAAAGTGAAAGGACAAAGAACTCATAGTAAGACAAAATGTTGGTACATAACAGATCCTTGATAAAGTGACGCTATTCAAAGATACAGAGAACTTTCAGTGGTACAAAATGTTGGTACAAAACAGATCCTTGATAAAGTGACGTTATTCAAAGATACAGAGAACTTTCAGTGGTACAAAATGCTGATACATAACAGATCCTTGATAAAGTGACGCTATTCAAGCAGACAGAGAACTTTCAGTGGTACAAAATGTTGGTACATAACAGATCCTTGATAAAGTGACGCTATTCATGCAGACAGAGAACTTACAGTGGTACAAAATGTTGGTACATAACAGATCCTTGATAAAGTGACGCTATTCAAGCAGACAGAGAACTTACAGTGGTACAAAATGTTGGTACATAACAGATCCTTGATAAAGTGACGCTATTCAAGCAGACAGAGAATTTATAGTGGTACAAAATGTTGGTACATAACAGATCCTTGATAAAGTGACGCTATTCAAGCAGACAGAGAATTTGTAGTGGTACAGAATGTTGGTACATAACAGATCCTTGATAAAGTGACGCTATTCAAGCAGACAGAGAACTTACAGTGGTACAAAATGTTGGTACATAACAGATCCTTGATAAAGTGACGCTATTCAAGCAGACAGAGAATTTGTAGTGGTACAGAATGTTGGTACATAACAGATCCTTGATAAAGTGACGCTATTCAAGCAGACAGAGAACTTACAGTGGTACACAATGTTGGTACATAACAGATCCTTGATAAAGTGACGCTATTCAAGCAGACAGAGAACTTACAGTGGTACAAAATGTTGGTACATAACAGATCCTTGATAAAGTGACGCTATTCAAGCAGACAGAGAATTTATAGTGGTACAAAATGTTGGTACATAACAGATCCTTGATAAAGTGAATTTCAAGCAGACAGAGAATAGTGGTACAAAATGTTGGTACATAACAGATCCTTGATAAAGTGACGCTATTCAAGCAGACAGAGAATTTGTAGTGGTACAGAATGTTGGTACATAACAGATCCTTGATAAAGTGACGCTATTCAAGCAGACAGAGAACTTACAGTGGTACAAAATGTTGGTACATAACAGATCCTTGATAAAGTGACGTTATTCAAGCAGACAGAGAATTTATAGTGGTACAAAATGTTGGTACATAACCGATCCTTGATAAAGTGACGCTATTCAAGCAGACAGAGAACTTACAGTGGTACAAAATGTTGGTACATAACAGATCCTTGATAAAGTGACGCTATTCAAGCAGACAGAGAACTTACAGTGGTACAAAATGTTGGTACATAACAGATCCTTGATAAAGTGACGCTATTCAAGCAGACAGAGAACTTACAGTGGTACAAAATGTAGGTATATAACAAAATGTTGAGGAGACTACAATACTGGTACATATATATATATATAACTTAAGTGTGACCATATCCTCCCGACCATAAAACTGAAGTTGATAACTCCGACCAAATCTCCCTGATCTGAAAAATCTTAAGTTTAACCTCCCGACCAAAATCCTCCGGACTAGAAAAACCAGAAGTACATCCACCTATCAAGTCTTCCGCACTATTAAAACGAAAGTTCAACCAACCGACCAAATCTTCCTGACTAGAGAAACTAAAGTTTAACTCATTACCCACCGACCAAATCTTCCTGACTAGAGAAACTAAAGGTTTACCCACCGACCAAATCTTTCTGACTAGAGAAACTAAAGTTTAACTCACCGACCAAATCTTCCTGACTAGAGAAACTAAAGTTTAACTCACCGACCAAATCTTTCTGACTAGAGAAACTAAAGTTTAACTCATTACCCACCGACCAAATCTTCCTGACTAGAGAAACTAAAGTTTAACTCACCGACCAAATCTTTCTGACTAGAGAAACTAAAGTTTAACTCATTACCCACCGACCAAATCTTCCTGACTAGAGAAACTAAAGGTTAACTCATTACCCACCGACCAAATCTTTCTGACTAGAGAAACTAAAGTTTAACTCACCGACCAAATCTTCCTGACTAGAGAAACTAAAGTTTAACTCACCGACCAAATCTTTCTGACTAGAGAAACTAAAGTTTAACTCATTACCCACCGACCAAATCTTCCTGACTAGAGAAACTAAAGTTTAACTCACCGACCAAATCTTTCTGACTAGAGAAACTAAAGTTTAACTCATTACCCACCGACCAAATCTTCCTGACTAGAGAAACTAAAGGTTAACTCATTACCCACCGACCAAATCTTTCTGACTAGAGAAACTAAAGTTCAACCCACCGACCAAATCTTCCTGACTAGAGAAACTAAAGTTTAACTCACCGACCAAATCTTCCTGACTAGAGAAACTAAAGGTTTACCCACCGACCAAATCTTCCTGACTAGAGAAACTAAAGTTTAACTCATTACCCACCGACCAAATCTTCCTGACTAGAGAAACTAAAGGTTTACCCACCGACCAAATCTTTCTGACTAGAGAAACTAAAGTTTAACTCATTACCCACCGACCAAATCTTCCTGACTAGAGAAACTAAAGTTTAACTCACCGACCAAATCTTCCTGACTAGAGAAACTAAAGTTTAACTCATTACCCACCGACCAAATCTTCCTGACTAGAGAAACTAAAGTTCAATCCACCGACCAAATCTTCCTGACTAGAGAAACTAAAGTTCAATCCACCGACCAAATCTTCCTGACTAGAGAAACTAAAGGTTTACCCACCGACCAAATCTTCCTAACTAGAGAAACTAAAGGTTTACCCACCGACCAAATCTTTCTGACTAGAGAAACTAAAGTTCAATCCACCGACCAAATCTTCCTGACTAGAGAAACTAAAGTTCAATCCACCGACCAAATATTCCTGACTAGAGGAACTAAAGTTCAACCCACCGACCAAATCTTCCTGACTACAGAAACTAAGGTTTAACTCACCGACCAAATCTTTCTGACTAGAGAAACTAAAGTTCAATCCACCGACCAAATCTTCCTGACTAGAGAAACTAAAGGTTTACCCACCGACCAAATATTCCTTAATAGAGAAACTAAAGTTCAATCCACCGACCAAATCTTCCTGACTAGAGAAACTAAAGGTTTACCCACCGACCAAATCTTTCTGACTAGAGAAACTAAAGTTCAATCCACCGACCAAATCTTCCTGACTAGAGAAACTAAAGTTCAATCCACCGACCAAATATTCCTGACTAGAGGAACTAAAGTTCAACCCACCGACCAAATCTTCCTGACTACAGAAACTAAGGTTTAACTCACCGACCAAATCTTTCTGACTAGAGAAACTAAAGTTCAATCCACCGACCAAATCTTCCTGACTAGAGAAACTAAAGGTTTACCCACCGACCAAATCTTTCTGACTAGAGAAACTAAAGTTCAATCCACCGACCAAATCTTCCTGACTAGAGAAACTAAAGTTCAATCCACCGACCAAATATTCCTGACTAGAGGAACTAAAGTTCAACCCACCGACCAAATCTTCCTGACTACAGAAACTAAGGTTTAACTCACCGACCAAATCTTTCTGACTAGAGAAACTAAAGTTCAATCCACCGACCAAATCTTCCTGACTAGAGAAACTAAAGGTTTACCCACCGACCAAATATTCCTTAATAGAGAAACTAAAGTTCAATCCACCGACCAAATCTTCCTGACTAGAGAAACTAAAGGTTTACCCACCGACCAAATCTTTCTGACTAGAGAAACTAAAGTTTAACTCACCGACCAAATCTTTCTGACTAGAGAAACTAAAGTTCAACCCACCGACCAAATCTTTCTGACTAGAGAAACTAAAGTTCAACCCACCGACCAAATCTTCCTGACTAGAGAAACTAAAGGTTTACCCACCGACCAAATCTTTCTGACTAGAGAAACTAAAGTTTAACTCACCGACCAAATCTTTCTGACTAGAGAAACTAAAGTTCAACCCACCGACCAAATCTTTCTGACTAGAGAAACTAAAGTTCAACCCACCGACCAAATCTTCCTGACTAGAGAAACTTAAGAGTTTACCCACCGACCAAATCTTCCTGACTAGAGAAACTAAAGTTTAACTCACCGGCCTAATCTTCCTGACTATTGTAACTAAAATTCTCCGTTCTAGGAAAAAAAAAAAAAAAAAAAACAACAACAACTAAAGTTTAACTCACAGAGGAAATCCTCCGACTAGAAAAAAAAAACAAAACTGAACCTACCGACCACATCCTCCTGGCAAAAAAAACTAAAGTTTAACCCACAGGTGAAATCCTCCGGACTAGAAAAAACCAAAACTAGACCCACCGACTAAATACTCCAGAATAAAAACACTTAAATCGAACCCACTGACCAAATCCTCTAGACTAGATAAAACTAATATTATGCCCAGACTAAATCCTCTTTACTACTACAACCAAACCCACTGACCAAACCATTCGGACATAAAAAAACTAAAGCTTAACCTACAGACCAAAACCTCCTTACTAGAAAAAAATAACCCCACCGATCAAATCCTCCTGACTAAAACAACTAAAGTTTTTTCCACCAAACAAATCCTCCGAACTACAATGCTATAAAAGCGTTATATGTATTTTGTGTAATCAACAGACTCCAGAAACAGAAGAAGTGAAATAAGACGTAAACCGACGACGAAATTTGCAACTTGTTTCAGTTCGTGTTTATTCCGTGTGATTTAATCCCTTAGTTTGTTCCGTGTGATCTTGTCACTCCGTAAGTTTGTTCCATGTGATCTCGTATTTCCGTAGGTTTGTTCCGTGTGATCTTGTCACCCCGTAAGTTTGTTCCGTGTGATCTTGTCCTTGCATGAGTTTGATTCCTGTGATCTTGTCCCTCCATGAGTTTGTTCCCTGTGATCTTGTCCTTGCATGAGTTTGATTCCTGTGATCTTGTCCCTCCATGAGTTTGTTTCCTGTGATCTTGTCCTTCCATGAGTTTGTTTCCCGTGATCTTGTCCCTCCATGAGTTTGTTTCCCGTGATCTTGTCCCTCCATGAGTTTGTTTCCTGTGATCTTGTCCCTCCATGAGTTTGTTCCCTGTGATCTTGTCCTTGCATGAGTTTGATTCCTGTGATCTTGTCCCTCCATGAGTTTGTTCCCTGTGATCTTGTCCCTCCATGAGTTTGTTCCCTGTGATCTTGTCCTTCCATGAGTTTGTTTCCTGTGATCTTGTCCCTCCATGAGTTTGTTCCCTGTGATCTTGTCCTTGCATGAGTTTGTTTCCTGTGATCTTGTCCCTCCATGAGTTTGTTCCCTGTGATCTTGTCCCTCCATGAGTTTGTTTCCTGTGATCTTGTCCCTCCATGAGTTTGTTTCCTGTGATCTTGTCCCTCCATGAGTTTGTTTCCTGTGATCTTGTCCCTCCATGAGTTTGTTCCCTGTGATCTTGTCCCTCCATGAGTTTGTTTCCTGTGATCTTGTCCTTCCATGAGTTTGTTCCCTGTGATCTTGTCCTTGCATGAGTTTGATTCATGTGATCTTGTCCCTCCATGAGTTTGTTTCCTGTGATCTTGTCCCTCCATGAGTTTGTTCCCTGTGATCTTGTCCTTCCATGAGTTTGTTTCCTGTGATCTTGTCCCTCCATGAGTTTGTTCCCTGTGATCTTGTCCTTGCATGAGTTTGTTTCCTGTGATCTTGTCCCTCCATGAGTTTGTTCCCTGTGATCTTGTCCCTCCATGAGTTTGTTTCCTGTGATCTTGTCCCTCCATGAGTTTGTTTCCTGTGATCTTGTCCCTCCATGAGTTTGTTTCCTGTGATCTTGTCCCTCCATGAGTTTGTTCCCTGTGATCTTGTCCCTCCATGAGTTTGTTTCCTGTGATCTTGTCCCTCCATGAGTTTGTTCCCTGTGATCTTGTCCCTCCATGAGTTTGTTTCCTGTGATCTTGTCCCTCCATGAGTTTGTTCCCTGTGATCTTGTCCTTGCATGAGTTTGATTCCTGTGATCTTGTCCCTCCATGAGTTTGTTCCCTGTGATCTTGTCCCTCCATGAGTTTGTTCCCTGTGATCTTGTCCTTCCATGAGTTTGTTTCCTGTGATCTTGTCCCTCCATGAGTTTGTTCCCTGTGATCTTGTCCTTGCATGAGTTTGTTACCTGTGATCTTGTCCCTCCATGAGTTTGTTCCCTGTGATCTTGTCCCTCCATGAGTTTGTTTCCTGTGATCTTGTCCCTCCATGAGTTTGTTTCCTGTGATCTTGTCCCTCCATGAGTTTGTTTCCTGTGATCTTGTCCCTCCATGAGTTTGTTCCCTGTGATCTTGTCCCTCCATGAGTTTGTTTCCTGTGATCTTGTCCTTCCATGAGTTTGTTCCCTGTGATCTTGTCCTTGCATGAGTTTGATTCATGTGATCTTGTCCCTCCATGAGTTTGTTTCCTGTGATCTTGTCCCTCCATGAGTTTGTTCCCTGTGATCTTGTCCTTCCATGAGTTTGTTTCCTGTGATCTTGTCCCTCCATGAGTTTGTTCCCTGTGATCTTGTCCTTGCATGAGTTTGTTTCCTGTGATCTTGTCCCTCCATGAGTTTGTTCCCTGTGATCTTGTCCCTCCATGAGTTTGATTCCTGTGATCTTGTCCCTCCATGAGTTTGTTCCCTGTGATCTTGTCCCTCCATGAGTTTGTTTCCTGTGATCTTGTCCCTCCATGAGTTTGTTCCCTGTGATCTTGTCCCTCCATGAGTTTGTTTCCTGTGATCTTGTCCCTCCATGAGTTTGTTCCCTGTGATCTTGTCCCTCCATGAGTTTGTTTCCTGTGATCTTGTCCCTCCATGAGTTTGTTCCCTGTGATCTTGTCCCTCCATGAGTTTGTTTCCTGTGATCTTGTCCCTCCATGAGTTTGTTCCCTGTGATCTTGTCCCTCCATGAGTTTGTTCCCTGTGATCTTGTCCCTCCATGAGTTTGTTCCCTGTAATCTTGTCCCTCCATGAGTTTGTTCCCTGTGATCTTGTCCTTGCATGAGTTTGTTTCCTGTGATCTTGTCCTTCCATGAGTTTGTTCCCTGTGATCTTGTCCCTCCATGAGTTTGTTCCCTGTGATCTTGTCCTTGCATGAGTTTGTTTCCTGTGATCTTGTCCTTCCATGAGTTTGTTCCCTGTGATCTTGTCCCTCCATGAGTTTGTTCCCTGTGATCTTGTCCCTCCATGAGTTTGTTCCCTGTGATCTTGTCCTTCCATGAGTTTGTTCCCTGTGATCTTGTCCTTCCATGAGTTTGTTCCCTGTGATCTTGTCCCTCCATGAGTTTGTTCCCTGTGATCTTGTCCCTCCATGAGTTTGTTTCCTGTGATCTTGTCCCTCCATGAGTTTGATTCCTGTGATCTTGTCCCTCCATGAGTTTGTTCCCTGTGATCTTGTCCCTCCATGAGTTTGATTCCTGTGATCTTGTCCCTCCATGAGTTTGTTCCCTGTGATCTTGTCCCTCCATGAGTTTGTTACCTGTGATCTTGTCCCTCCATGAGTTTGTTCCCTGTGATCTTGTCCCTCCATGAGTTTGTTCCCTAGGATCCTGACCCTCCGAGAGTCTGGTCCCATTTGATCTAGACCCTTCGTGCTTGTGTTCTCTGTTGTCTTTCCTTGACATTCGTGACATTTTGTCTTTTTGATTTATTGCAAGCGAATCACGATAAAGTGCCAAAACAAAATATGAAAACCCGACAAAGTGCAATAACAGAAAGAGATGAAAACCTGGAATCACAAAAAGGTTGCTCCTTTTTCTAGACTTTTTTGTGGTTTCGCCTTGTAAGGATTATATGTATACCTGTTTGGTTTTGATACCGTGGTGAGTATTAGTCTTTTTTTACGTGTCCTGTCGGTGATCGCAACAGTTGTTTTCAAAAAAATTGGAAATTGAAAGGATTGTACAACTAAAATATTACACATGGATAAGTACAATATATACGTGTAGTGAATGACATTTCAGTTTCGAGCAGATGATAAAATAATTGTGTACAGTATGCAGGACTTATCTCCCTTTTTCCATACTGTTTTGAGATAAGAGGTGACATTTTTTTCCCACAACTATCTCGTTTGTTTGTGTTAGCCCCATGTGAATAAAAATTATGTATGTTATCTGTGTACAAACTTACAGGTGACGGCACACGGTACAATGTAACAAGATTCTGTTTACAGGGACAGATAAATGCTAATCTAAAATTACAACAGATAACATGTGATTATCAAGAAAATAAATAGAATGAAAAAAAAAAAGAAAAAAAGTAAATAAATATCAAAAATACTGCAAATACGTATTCATGGAAACAATGTACAGATATGTACATATATACAATATAAACATCAATATATCTCAAAGGGGAAGAAAGGTAAACTGTATAACGATTAGTCAGGTACAATATATAGCTGACACACAAATCTAGAGGGAGATATCAATTGTATTATTGGAACACATTGAAATAGAGGTCGTGTCACATGGTATACCTACCACACTGACATAGAGGACGTGTCACATGGTATACCTACAACATTGAACTAGAGGACGTGTCACATGGTATACCTACCACACTCAAATAGAGGATGTGTCACATGGTATACCTACCACACTGAACTAGAAGTCGTGTCACATGGTGTACCTACCACACTCAAATAGAGGTCGTGTCACATGGTATACCTACAACACTGACATAGAGGACGTGTCACATGGTATACCTACAACATTGAACTAGAGGACGTGTCACATGGTATACCTACCACACTGACATAGAGGACGTGTCACATGGTATACCTACAACATTGAACTAGAGGACGTGTCACATGGTATACCTACCACACTGACATAGAGAACGTGTCACATGGTATACCTACCACACTGAACTAGAAGTCGTGTCACATGGTATACCTACAACACTGACATAGAGGACGTGTCACATGGTATACCTACCACACTCAAATAGAGGATGTGTCACATGGTATACCTACCACACTGAACTAGAAGTCGTGTCACATGGTATACCTACCACACTCAAATAGAGGATGTGTCACATGGTATACCTACCACACTGAACTAAAGGATGTGTCACATGGTATACCTACCACACTGAAAGAGATGTCGTGTCACATGGTATACCTATCACACTGAACTAGAGGTCGTGTCAAATGGTATACCTACCACACTGAACTAGAGGTCGTGTCACATGGTATACCTACCACACTGACCTAGAGGACGTGTCACATGGTATACCTAAAATACTGAACTAGAGGTCGTGTCAAATGGTATACCTAACACATTGAACTAGAGGACGTGTCACATGGTATACCTACCACACTGACCTAGAGAACGTGTCACATGGTATACCTACCACACTGAACGAGATGTCGTGTTACACCGTTTACCCGATACACAGAACTACAGGTCGTGTTACACCTTATACCCGATACACAGAACTACAGGTCGTGTTACACTTTATACCTGATACACAGAACTACAGGTCGTGTTAAACCGTTTACCCGATACACAGAACTACAGGTCGTGTTACACTTTATACCTGATACACAGAACTACAGGTCGTGTTAAACCGTTTACCCGATACACAAAACTACAGGTCGTGTTACACTTTATACCTGATACACAGAACTACAGGTCGTGTTACACTTTATACCCGATACACAGAACTACAGGTCGTGTTACACTTTATACCCGATACACAGAACTACAGGTCGTGTTACACTTTATACCCGATACACAGAACTACAGGTCGTGTTACACTTTATACCCGATACACAGAACTACAGGTCGTGTTACACTTTATACCCGATACACAGAACTACAGATCGTGTTACACTTTATACCCGATACACAGAACTACAGATCGTGTTACACTTTATACCCGATACACAGAACTACAGGTCGTGTTACACTTTATACCCGATACACAGAACTACAGGTCGTGTTACACTTTATACCCGATACACAGAACTACAGGTCGTGTTACACTTTATACCCGATACACAGAACAACATGTCGTGTTACACTTTATACCCGATACACAGAACTACAGGTCGTGTTACACTTTATACCCGATACACAGAACTACAGGTCGTGTTACACTTTATACCCGATACACAGAACTACAGATCGTGTTACACTTTATACCCGATACACGGAACAACATGTCGTGTTACACTTTATACCCGATACTCAGAACTACAGATCGTGTTACACTTTATACCCGATACACGGAACAACATGTCGTGTTACACCGTTTACCTGATACAGATGATTCTCCAGTCATCCGAGATACAAATTTCACGTTTTATTTTAATTGAGTTTTTTTTCACAGAAAGTAAAACATTTCCTACATATGTTTATTTCATTATATATTACTAGCTATGTAAAGGCTTTATAGGAAAAATAAAATTATTATCATCATTGATTTATATATTTTCCCCTAATTTTTGATTAATCATATCGCATTATTTTCAGTGAAAATATAGATGTCTCCGTGAATACATTGAGTACGCGTAAAGTCGAGATGATGACATTTTTGCTGTTAATAATTGGAGTAAACTTTAGAGTATTTTTTTATCCTGGCCAATCTGAATTGATTTTATTCTGATTTTATTCTCAATCATGTAAGGACTTGTGTCTTAGATTTGAAACTACTGTGAATGAATCGGTGGAGTATCGACAAGAAAGCACACAGATAGACATATTTAACTCGACACAGATGAAGCGTGAGAAACCATTATTCATCAATTAACAACGAATATTCTCTATATATTTATTATAATAAATTGAAAATTAATCCTTTTAGATTTTGTTTTATATTAAATCCCCCTTTTGAGCTCGGGTTCTAGAAATGATCATACTTTACATACAAACAGACCACAATGCGTGCTTGTTACGTTACTGGGTATTCCGAGCCCTTTATACCTGTCACTACAAGCGTTTAAACTTGTAAGCTTTTTATTACTGGTACAATCAATGTTTTTTGGTTTATTATTGAATTCCGCATATATCGCGTACAATCTATATTGTTTGTGTCAAAGCTGGTCTCCTCGCTAAAGGAAATGACTCAACGTTTCAGGTGTTAAATGTATAGTCATCTTAAATACAGATCAAGGAGAAGGAAACAAAACTAAGTATCGATAATTATTGTACAGGGTTAAATACTTCCTTGAAATGTAATTTCATTAATTAAAAGTCAAATCTTATGACTTTCATATGTATCATTGTTTCTTTGGATTTGTGAAGTAACTGAAGTTTTTAACCTTTTTCATATAAGCTAGATTTACTCAACTAAACAGAAAGATTTTGTACACTATGCATTGCATGTGGGATCGTCTAGAGGATTGCAAGTCGGATATGAGATAATTTACATGTTTGTGGAAAACCATCGACACAGAAAATAGACTCAGCATGATCAGATGCAATAGAAATAGTCTATATGACATATAAAAAGGCATTAGTGGTATATAGATAACACAAATAAGGACACTCCAGTACCGAGACAGTAGTGGCATAAGGGACAGTCTAGTTCTGAGACAGTAATGGTATTAGGGACACTATAGTACTGAGACAGTAGTGGTGTTAGGGATAATCTAGTACTGAGACAGTAGTGGTATTAGGGATAATCTAGTACTGAGACAGTAGTGATATTAGGGACACTCTAGTACTGAGACACTAGTGATATTAGGGACAATCTAGAACTGAGACAGTAGTGATATTAGGGACATTCTAGTACTGAGACAGTAGTGGTATTAGGGACAATATAGTACTGAGGCAGTAGTGGTATTAGGGACACTCTAGTACTGAGACAGTAGTGGTATTAGGGACACTCTAGTACTGAGGCAGTAGTGGTATTAGGGACACTCTAGTACTGAGACAGTAGTGGTATTAGGGACAATATAGTACTGAGGCAGTAGTGGTATTAGGGACACTCTAGTACTGAGACAGTAGTGGTATTAGGGACACTCTAGTACTGAGGCAGTAGTGGTATTAGGGACACTCTAGTACTGAGACAGTAGTGGTGTTAGGGATAATCTAGTACTGAGACAGTAGTGGTATTAGGGATAATCTAGTACTGAGACAGTAGTGATATTAGGGACACTCTAGTACTGAGACACTAGTGATATTAGGGACAATCTAGTACTGAGACAGTAGTGATATTAGGGACATTCTAGTACTGAGACAGTAGTGGTATTAGGGATAATCTAGTACTGAGACAGTAGTGGTATTAGGGACAATCTAGTACTGAGACAGTAGTGATATTAGGGACACTCTAGTACTGAGACAGTAGTGGTGTTAGGGACAATCTAGTACTGAGACAGTAGTGGTATTAGGGATAATCTAGTACTGAGACAGTAGTGATATTAGGGACAATCTAGTACTGAGACAGTAGTGATATTAGGGACACTCTAGTACTGAGACACTAGTGATATTGGGGACAATCTAGTACTGAGACAGTAGTGATATTAGGGACACTAGTGCTGGGACAGTAGTGGTATTAGGGATAATCTAGTACTGAGACAGTAGTGGTATTAGGGATAATCTAATGCTGAGACAGTAGTGGTATTAGGGATAATCTAGTACTGAGACAGTAGCGGTATTAGGGACACTCTAGTACTGAGACAGTAGTGGTATTAGGGACACTCTAGTACTGAGACAGTATTGGTATTAGGGATACTCTAGTACTGAGACAGTAGCGGTATTAGGGACACTCTAGTACTGAGACAGTAGTGGTATTAGGGACACTCTAGTACTTAGACAGTAGTGATATTAGGGACAATATAGTACTAGGACAGTATTGGTATTAGGGATACTCTAGTACTGAGACAGTAGTGATATTAGGGACAATATAGTACTAGGACAGTATTGGTATTAGGGATACTCTAGTACTGAGACAGTAGTGGTATTAGGGACAATATAGTACTGAGGCAGTAGTGGTATTAGGGACACTCTAGTACTGAGACAGTAGTGGTATTAGGGACACTCTAGTACTGAGACAGTAGTGGTATTAGGGACAATATAGTACTGAGGCAGTAGTGGTATTAGGGACACTCTAGTACTGAGACAGTAGTGGTATTAGGGACACTCTAGTACTGAGGCAGTAGTGGTATTAGGGACACTCTAGTACTGAGACAGTAGTGGTATTAGGGATACTCTAGTACTGAGACAGTAGTGGTATTAGGGACAATATAGTACTGAGGCAGTAGTGGTATTAGGGACATTCTAGTACTGAGAAATAGTGATATTAGGGACAATCTAGTACTAGGACAGTATTGGTATTAGGGATAATCTAGTACTGAGACAGTAGTGGTATGAGGGACAATCTAGTACTGAGACAGTAGCGGTATTAGGGACACTCTAGTACTGAGACAGTATTGGTATTAGGGATACTCTAGTCCTGAGACAGTAGCGGTATTAGGGACAATATAGTACTGAGACAGTAGTGGTATTAGGGACAATATAGTACTGAGACAGTAGTGATATTAGGGACATTCTAGTACTGAGACAGTAGTGGTATTAGGGATAATCTAGTACTGAGACAGTAGTGGTATGAGGGACAATCTAGTACTGAGACAGTAGTGATATTAGGGACACTCTAGTACTGAGACACTAGTGATATTAGGGACAATCTAGTACTGAGACAGTAGTGGTGTTAGGGATAATCTAGTACTGAGACAGTAGCGGTGTGTACGGAAAAAAATATGGAAAAATGATCAGTTATTGCTTGAAATGCACAGACTACATAACTATTGAAATATACTCTCTACAAAGCAAAAGTAAGCAGAAAGGATATTGCTTCCCAAATACTCGGGTCAGTTGATGTTACTTCAGCAACGGAAAAATGCCAATCACAAGGGGAAATAAATTGTTCACGTCCGTTCTGGGAACAGAAACGCAACATCTGATATATATGCATCCATTTGCGTTTACACCAACGTAAACGCAAATAAAACAGAAATCAGTCCCTAAATATTTGTACCGTACTTCTTCTCTCTAAAACAAAAACTGTGATAACGAGAGAACTTCATTTTGTTGAAGGTTTGGTTCGACTACTAGACGAGCGAACAATAAAACGCTCTATATATGGATTCCTGTGACGTCGATGAATCCAAATATAAACGATGGAAGGTCGTCACCTTGTTAATTCGCAATCTTAATATGATCATGATACTGATCATCCTTGGAGAGATAAGATATTTGTTTTCGTTGAGTTTCCTTTTGTTATTGAGCAAGCCTTCCTATTTTGTATGCAGGAAATATGATAATGTCAGCAGACGAAGATCGAGGCACTGACAGTCTCATATGACGTTACAATAACACACCTATCATGTATGTCGTATATTTTGTATATAACAATGCAAGCTGCTAAATCCTTTAAGCATGATAGACCGAATTTATTTAATTCATTCTGAAAGTGAATTACAGCTAGTTTCCTCTACTGGCTGGTTTTCTACGGAGTCATTTCGTATCTTCCATTAATGGAAAAATTTTCATGGTATTTTGGGCCCTTCATGAAAAGCTCGCAAAGTTTAACGTCATAGAGGAAACTTAATCGTCGGGTACTCCATAATGTACACGTGCAGGTGGACCAAGAACAAGTCTCATAACTAGTTGTATCAGGTGTATTTTTATATTGAAAGCAAGGTGTAATGTGAGTTTCGACAGATTCGGGGGTTGCGATAGTCGGCTGGTGCGTTGACCTACGCAACACCATGTACAGATTCACCGCTGCCACTCGTGGTTAATGGAACTTTCTGTATTGTCATGGTTGTGTGCCGGGATAAGACGCGATACCTTCACTGATCTGGATGGCATTCCACGGGTCTCTTGTATATTGTAATGAGGAGACCCTGCCTCTAAATTACATATTATTGTTGACGGGGTGATAAACAATACAGCATATATGTATATGTATGTAATGTTATTTTAACGTATATACACAAATCAATGATTGATAGGCACACATACCTTAACACACATTGAAAGGGGGTTATGGTCATTTAACAAACAACATCACATCACCTTGATTTCTCGAATGCAGGCGACAGTATAAAAAACCCAGGTAAATAGAAAGGGTGCAGATCCTTCAGGTTAATTTAAGGTTCAGAACACAAACACACCTGGTACCTTTACATCTTAGTGTGTATTTACTTCCTAGTACGAAACAAGTCACGCGCTTCGTCTAACTATTTGTTCACAGAGAGTAAAAACCCAGTCCTGACTTAAACGCTCAATGGTGTTAATATCAGTTCTCCTGTGATAACGGTCGCTTACTTCCGCGTTTCTAAATATGAATTCTTTTTTTGTCGCGGTTCATCGTTGAAGTTTTGTGTATATATGAGGACGTTGTAAAGTGTCGTCACAAGTTTTAATGTTCCGAGAAGTTAGTCATTATTCCAAGTGGAGATTTCCCTTCCGATCCATCTCGTCCTATCAACGAAAGTAACCATATACATGTACAATGTACATAAGTGGGAGATGTTGTAACAATGAAAGATAGACAGGTTGTTTATTGAAACACGCGTTCTGTGGAGAAATCACTGAAGACGTTACCGGATATCTAATGTTATAATTAACTATGCATAACACAAACAAATGCTATCAGTCTCCGAGGAGAAATAGACGGTAAGTCTATAATATCATTGTTAAATGCTTAATGCTCAAGTCCATTTGTTGCATATCTATTTCAGATGTATGCGGAATTTTAGGATACGGGGTGTTTGTCATAATAAACTTGAAAGAGTCGATGGACGTTTAAAGGGCTGGGTTACTGGCGTTAAGTGGTCGGGAAAAGGCACGGTACGAAATGAAGAGATAATAGACGGCCTTGCTGATATGCTTATTGTAGCGCATTAACTCCAGCCTTCTCTTGTCAGGTAGATTTTTCAATAAACAGCATGAAATCAGCTTGTTCTTGTTTAAGATGATTGTGAACTGGATTTATTTGAGAAGTTATGTGACTTGCAAGCAATACACAATTTTTGCAATGTTCATGGATTTCATTACTTTCGTTTTACCTATAGTTTACTTAACAATTGTGTTGATATGAATATGGGTCTTTGTTATCGTCAGAGAATAAACTTTCTGGTGACCCGTGATAGATCCAACCAATTCAAAACGATAACAGTAGGTCAGACCTCGGTAATCAATTGTTTTGTGTATTGATCGCTATTGCTTATCGATAACAGGTAAATTACATAACTGCATAAGTACTACCAACGTCGATATAAATACACAACAATCATATCGCTGGCATTGTAAGGTTGGACAGTGTAGACGATTTCTTTGTGAAGCAATGTGCATAGATATAATCGGAAAGATAACATTTAATCAATCTACACTGAAACCAATACTTGAAGAGTACCTGCTGTCACTTAAGTACATCTACTACCCTGAAGAGTTCTGTCACTTAGGTACATCTACTACCATGTAGAGTTCTGTCACTTAGGTACATCTACTACCCTGAAGAGTTCTGTCACTTAGGTACATCTACTACCCTGAAGAGTTCTGTCACTTAGGTACATCTACAACCCTGTAGAGTGCTGTCACTTAGGTACATCTACTACCCTGAAGGGTTACTGCTTTCACTTAGGTACATCTACTACCCTGTAGAGTTACTGCTGTCACTTAGGTACATCTACTACCCTGAAGAGTTACTGCTGTCACTTAGGTACATCTACTACCATGAAGAGTGCTGTCACTTAGGTATATCTACTACCCTGAAGAGTTACTGCTGTCACTTAGGTACACCTACTACCCTGAAAAGTTCTGTCACTTAGGTACATCTACTACCCTGAAGAGTTACTGCTGTCACTTACGTACATCTACTACCCTGAAGAGTTCTGGCACTTAGGTACATCTACTACCCTGAAGACTTACTGCTGTCACTTAGGTACATCTACTACCCTGAAGAGTGCTGTCACTTAGGTATATCTACTACCCTGAAGAGTTACTGCTATCACTTAGGTACATCTACTACCCTGTAGAGTTCTGTCACTTAGGTACATCTACTACCCTGAAGAGTTACTGCTGTCACTAAGGTACATCTACTACCCTGAAGAGTTCTGTCACTTAGGTACATCTACTACCCTGAAGAATTACTGCTGTCACTTACGTACATCTACTACCCTGAAGAGTTACTGCTGTCACTTAGGTACATCTGCTACCCTGGAGAGTTCTGTCACTTAGGTACATCTACTACCCTGAAGAGTTCTGTCACATAGGTACATCTACTACCCTGAAGAGTCACTGCTGTCACTTAGGTACATCTACTACCCTGAAGAGTTCTGTCACTTAGGTACATCGACTACCCTGAAGAGTTCTGTCACTTAGGTACATCTACTACCCTGAATAGTTCTGTCACTTAGGTACATCTACTACCCTGAAGAGTTCTGTCACTTAGGTACATCTACTACCCTGAAGAATTACTGCTGTCACTTACGTACATCTACTACCCTGAAGAGTTACTGCTATCACTTAGGTAAATCTGCTACCCTGGAGAGTTCTGTCACTTAGGTACATCTATTACCCTGAAGAGTTCTGTCACTTAGGTACATCTATTACACTGAAGAGTTACTGCTTTCACTTAGGTACATCTACTACCCTGTAGAGTTCTGTCACTTAGGTACATCTACTACCCTGGAGAGTTCTGTCACTTAGGTACATCTACTACCCTGAAGAGTTCTGTCACTTAGGTACATCTACTACCCTGAATAGTTCTGTCACTTAGGTACATCGACTACCCTGAAGAGTTCTGTCACTTAGGTACATCTACTACCCTGGAGAGTTCTGTCACTTAGGTACATCTACTACCCTGTAGAGTTCTGTCACTTAGGTACATCTACTACCCTGAAGAGTTCTGTCACTTAGGTACATCTACTACCCTGAAGAGTTCTGTCACTTAGGTACATCTACTACCCTGAATAGTTCTGTCACTTAGGTACATCGACTACCCTGGAGAGTTCTGTCACTTAGGTACATCTATTACCCTGAAGAGTTCTGTCACTTAGGTACATCTATTACCCTGAAGAGTTACTGCTGTCACTTAGGTGCATCTACTACCCTGAGGAGTTACTGCTGTCACTTAGGTGCATCTACAACCCTGAAGAGTTCTGTCACTTAGGTACATCTACTACCCTGAGGAGTTACTGCTGTCACTTAGGTGCATCTACTACCCTGAAGAGTTCTGTCACTTAGGTACATCTACTACCCTGTAGAGTTCTGTCACTTAGGTACATCTACTACCCTGAAGAGTTACTGCTGTCACTTAGGTACATCTACTACCCTGAGGAGTTCTGTCACTTAGGTACATCTACTACCCTGAAGAGTTACTGCTGTCACTCAGGTACATCTACTACCCTGAAGACTTACTGCTGTCACTTAGGTGCATCTACTACCCTGAAGAGTTACTGCTGTCACTTAGGTGCATCTACTACCCTGAAGAGTTACTGCTGTCACTTAGGTGCATCTACTACCCTGAAGAGTTACTGCTGTCACTTAGGTAAATCTGCTACCCTGGAGAGTTCTGTCACTTAGGTACATCTGCTACCCTGAAGAGTTCTGTCACTTAGGTACATCTACTACACTGAAGAGTTACTGCTGTCACTCAGGTACATCTACTACCCTGAGGAGTTCTGTCACTTAGGTACATCTACTACCCTGAAGAGTTACTGCTGTCACTTAGGTACATCTACTACCATGTAGAGTTCTGTCACTTAGGTACATCTACTACCCTGAAGAGTTCTGTCACTTAGGTACATCTACTACCCTGAAGAGTTCTGTCACTTAGGTACATCTACAACCCTGAAGAGTTCTGTCACTTAGGTACATCTACTACCCTGAAGAGTTACTGCTGTCACTTAGGTACATCTACTACCCTAAGAATTACTGCTGTCACTTACGTACATCTACTACCCTGAAGAGTTCTGTCACTTAGGTACATCTACTACCCTGAGGAGTTCTGTCACTTAGGTACATCTACTACCCTGAAGAGTTACTGCTGTCACTTAGGTACATCTACTACCCTGGAGAGTTCTGTCACTTAGGTACATCTACTACCCTGAAGGGTTACTGCTTTCACTTAGGTACATCTACTACACTGAAGAGTTACTGCTGTCACTCAGGTACATCGACTACCCTGAAGAGTTACTGCTGTCACTTAGGTACATCGACTACCCTGAAGAGTTACTGCTGTCACTTAGGTACATCTACTACCCTGAATAGTTCTGTCACTTAGGTGCATCGGCTACCCTGAAGAGTTACTGCTGTCACTTAGGTACATCTACTACCCTGTAGAGTTCTGTCACTTAGGTACATCTACTACCCTGTAGAATTCTGTCACTTAGGTACATCTACTACCATGAAGAGTTACTGCTGTCACTCAGGTACATCTACTACCCTGAAGAGTTCTGTCACTTAGGTACATCTACTACCCTGTAGAGTTCTGTCACTTAGGTACATCTACTACCCTGAAGAGTTACTGCTGTCACTCAGGTACATCTACTACCCTGTAGAGTTCTGTCACTTAGGTACATCTACTACCCTGAAGAGTTCTGTCACTTAGGTACATCTACTACCCTGAAGAGTTACTGCTGTCACTTAGGTGCATCTACTACCCTGAAGAGTTACTGCTGTCACTTAGGTACATCTACTACCCTGTAGAGTTCTGTCACTTAGGTACATCTACTACCCTGAAGAGTTACTGCTGTCACTCAGGTACATCTACTACCCTGTAGAGTTCTGTCACTTAGGTACATCTACTACCCTGAAGAGTTACTGCTGTCACTTAGGTACATCTACTACCCTGAAGAGTTACTGCTGTCACTTAGGTACATCTACTACCCTGTAGAGTTCTGTCACTTAGGTACATCTACTACCCTGAAGAGTTACTGCTGTCACTCAGGTACATCTACTACCCTGAAGAGTTCTGTCACTTAGGTACATCTACTACACTGAAGAGTTACTGCTGTCACTCAGGTACATCTACTACCCTGAGGAGTTCTGTCACTTAGGTACATCTACTACCCTGAAGAGTTACTGCTGTCACTCAGGTACATCTACTACCCTGAAGAGTTACTGCTGTCATTTAGGTACATCTACTACCCTGAAGAGTTCTGTCACTTAGGTACATCTACTACCCTGAAGAGTTCTGTCACTTAGGTACATCTACTACCCTGAAGAGTTACTGCTGTCACTCAGGTACATCTACTACCCTGAAGAGTTCTGTCACTTAGGTACATCTACTACCCTGAAGAGTTCTGTCACTTAGGTACATCGACTACCCTGAAGAGTTCTGTCACTTAGGTACATCTACTATCCTGAAGAGTTCTGTCACTTAGGTACATCTACTACCCTGAAGAGTTCTGTCACTTAGGTACATCTACTACCCTGAAGAATTACTGCTGTCACTTACGTACATCTACTACTCTGAAGAGTTACTGCTGTCACTTAGGTACATCTACTACCCTGAAGAGTTACTGCTGTCACTTAGGTACATCTACTATCCTGAAGAGTTCTGTCACTTAGGTACATCTACTACCCTGAAGAGTTACTGCTATCACTTAGGTACATCTACTACCCTGAAGAGTTCTGTCACTTAGGTACATCTACTACCCTGAAGAGTTACT